CTTGCATATCAGTAGGTACAGTGGATCTATGTAAAATTGACTCCCCCACTGAGCTCCTTCAGACTAGTCAGCAGCAGTTGGCAAACATCTGGTGGAACAGCTCATCTGCTGAGCTCATTACATGAGCTACTTCTCAGTGCAATGTTGATAAAAACATTGTTAAAGGGTTAACAGAGGAGCCATGTTGTGATGACTTCCTGAAGGTGGAGTTTCAGAAAGAGCAGGAATTTCTTAAAGAGACAGAGGCCAAATTTGAAGGCGTTAAATTACAAAGTCAAATTTTTCTTAAGTTGTATTTGATACATGCAGCATTTATATAACAACTGAGGGTAACATAGTTACTTAGTTGTGCTACAGAATGGCACAATGTGGATGGAAAACACACAGTACTACCACTTTAAGCTTGTTTTCACATTTTTTGTACACCAGATGTAGGGAGATTTCATTAGAAAGCTTGTCAGGGGTGCAACAATAAGTGGACCCAGACTTACTGCTTCATCCCAAAACTGACTTTTCAGACAAAATATTGGTACTGGTCAAAATCAGCATAGATTATATTAGTGATGGGCCAGAAAACTGCAATCAGAGCACCGCTACTTCTTGTAAAGTGGAGAAATGTTTTCTAGCATTTTCACCAGTCAAGAGCTTTTCCTCAGGTCATTATCAACATTGTTAGTTTTTCAGCCTCTGTCCTAAAGGGAAAATATTCTTAAGAATTGTTTTAGTGTAAAATACTGTACTAATAAAAATGTTTTTCTCGTTTGGAAAAAACATGTAAAAATGCATTGAAAATGTGCTTTTAAAACAGTAGTGTTTTGTTTTCTTTATTACTGGAAGTGTGAGAAACCAGTTAGTATATAACGTGGTTTTATACTAACGGGAGGTTCTCTGCTGGGTGGAGAGTTTTCCTCAAGTTCCTCTTCCTTGTCATCATGTCCACTTTGTGCTGCAGGGTGAGCATCAAGGAGTCATCAGTAGCCAAGCTGGGCTCCGTCTGTCGCCGCATATATAGGATATTCTCTCATGCCTACTTCCATCATCGTCAGATATTCGACAAGTATGAGGTGAGTGTTAATGACTGACCTGCTCTTGATTACTTACTTATTTAGTTGATTTCTGTACTCAAAGTCTGCAAGTCCTCCAAGTGCTTCCTTGTGGATTCATTTGTCAATCTGATGCTCTCATGGAAGAGCTGATTTTAGTTCAGGTCATATAACATAAGATCATCTTATTGGTCATGTAAGGCCAATAAAATGGTGTATTTTATTTTTTTTCTCAGTGGTTGCTGTTCAGACAGGACTGGCTGATTGTGATCAGATCTAATACTAACTCAGACTGATAATCCCCGTCTGAAAAGATTGCCACTGATTAGGATTAACAGTTTAAAGTCTCTGCTTTTGTCCCAACACATTTTGGTCCCTGTCCAATCAAGTCATGGGTTGTGTATAAGAAAGGACACACCACTGTTACCATGGAGAGAAAATAAGATCTCAGTCTGAAACTAATGTAGAAACCCACATTCTGAGCACCCTTACACTGAGACAATGTCGACTTTCCTCAGAATAAACTTTAAAAAACTGTATTTTCACACAAAAATAATCATGATCATCTGATTATTGAAATATCAACAAATTTACCAATCTATTAAGTGGAGTATATAGATTAATAAGGTAATTTGCTGAAAGGACAACTTATTCAGAGCAGTAATCAAGACAAATTGTAAAAAATATTTAAATTTTGTACTTAAAAAAACCCCCCAAAACCCCTTTTGTCTATAAACATGTTCTACCTAAGACTCCTTATGTGGAGGTTTAAGCTTCACTTGGTTCAAATTTTGTAAGAAAATATACACTAAATCAGCCATTAACCACTTTTTGATAATAGTTATTAATGCAAAAATTAATCACTCTACAAATGAACAGACATTCATCATTTGTAGATGCTGTGTTGTTGCATTTCAGGCTGAATTATTTGTTTGCATATTTTAATGTATTTCAAATATTGTTTTGACAAAGGCTTAAGTGGTTAAATGAAAATCTGAAGAATTTGCCATGTTCTAATCTGATTAATCATCGGAACAATCGATGGAATAAATCACAAAAATAGTTACTTTCTGCCCTGTAATCAATTGACCATAATGTTGATCACTCAACAGACATGAAGCAAGAAAAATCTACACCGTTTCAAATTATTATGCAAGTTGGACTTAAGTGTCATAAAGATTACATTTTGTGTTGTGCTATTTAATTTCTAGATGGTATTGTCTGTCCGGGCTCTTTAATCACTATAATTAATGTCAGAGCTGGTTGATTAGTTTGTCTTGTGAGCTCAATTAAAGGAAATCTACTTAAGAAGGATGTTCCACATTATTAAGCAGGCCACAGGTTTCAAGGAACATGAGAGAGAGAAAAGATCTCTGCTGATGAAAATTATCAGATAGTGTAGTGCCGTATGACAAGATATAAAAACATTAGATATTTAATGAAAACTCAAGCACTGTGTCACTGGCTGCTATGGGCATAAAAGAGGAGAAACTCATGGTGTGGTCACCATCCTCTGACCTCTGACCCTATTGAGAACCTTTGGAGTTTCCTCAAACAGGAGACCTGAGAGAGGGATGCAGTTCATATCAAACAGCAGCTCTGGGAAGATTTTCTGACATCCTGCAAAGAAATTCAAGCAGAAACTTTCCACAAACTCACAAGTTGAATGGATCAAGAATTGAGAGGATGATGTCAAAGCAGGTCCAATGTTAACATGTGACTCTGTCTGTTAAGATGTTTTTGATTGAAATAGCTCTTGATTTTAGTACATGTGACCACTTAATGCTGCACATTTATAATCCATAAAATATTTAGAAAATCTGCTGTGCATAATAATTTGGAACAGTGCATTTTGAGTTTTTTATTTTTGAAAAAAATACTGTTCTCATGGGGAGCTTCGTTCAGGAACATTTGATTTATACTGTAATAGTTCATGACTTGAAAATTATACTGAGCATCATTTACATTGACTACTTAAGAAAACCTGAGAAAATATCACTTGGATAATAATTTGGAACATGGTGTAGTCTGACTTTCTGAAATTGCTTCGCTCTTTAAACCAAAGCAATCGTGTGTGTGTGTGTGTGTGTGTGTGTTTGCGCACAGAACGAGACGTTCCTGTGTCACCGATTCACGCGCTTCGTGATGAAGTACAACCTGATGTCCAAGGACAACCTGATAGTGCCCATCCTGGAGGAGGAAGTCCAGAACACCTCGTCAGCTGGGGAGAGCGAGGCCTAACGCCGCCGCGCACAGCTCTATATCTATACAGTACAGAGGAGGCGCACCCATTCTGCATAAATATATCTGAATATATGTATAGACACACTACAGTGTATGGAGACACTGTCCACGTCCCCTCTTTCCCCCTCACTCTTCTGTCTATCTGAGGAAGTAAAGCTAGCAGGAGCAGGACTCGGCAGCCTGCAGGGTAACATCAACAAGGTCACTGTCTCCTCACGGTTCCCACCCACTTTGTCCATAGCAACGCCCTTCCTCCCCCCATAACTATATCAGGTTCTCTTTTGATCTTTGACGCAACATTTTTATGGGTTTTTACAAATCATTGAACCATATTTGCGTTTTGTTTTCCCCCGGCAGCACAGTACTAGTCCTAAAGATTTAACTGTTGATTTTAGCCGCCTGACGCCTCCCACTGACCAGTGGCTCGCTGTGGACATGGTGGGTTTGGCTCAGTTATGACCCGTCCCCTTTCCCTCTGTATATACACCCCACATCATGCTTCTCTTCGCCTGTGTTGCCGACCTTCCTGCTTTGGGTCGGGATTGATCTAATGAAATGGAAATAAATAAAAACGTAGGTGTGATGCTTGTGTGGTAGTAACCAAACCTTCACCTTTAGCTCTGTCCTGTGATCTAGCAGTGAATTGTTCCTTCTGATCGGACTCTGATCCTGCTTTATGAGGAAGGTTTGTATTAGCGGGAGCAGCAGCAGCAGCAGCAGCAGCAGCCGGAGCCGGAGCCGGCCTGTTCTAGCCAGGTTGGAAGTGAGCGCCGTGCTGAAGGAAGGAGAGTATTGGCTACATGATGCGTCAGAGCACAACCCACTTCCTGCCTTCTTTAACCCTCTTCCTCATTAAGTTATTGTGTGGGAGGAGTCTCTTCAGTCCAACCCACTTGTTTTTTTTAAATGGACTAAAAATTTTGTTACTGTTGACATTTTCATGATGTCTGTTAATAAAAAAAAGACCTATTATTCATATGGTTGTGTGGAGGCTGTTTACTGATGCACCATCACAAACATCACAAGGATGTTCATTGACCAAAATGTTTCTAAATGTCCCTTTAAGATACTATTTTTGAGACTCTTTGCTATAAACCAGGAGAGAGGAGAAGGAGACTTGACTACATTATGATGTTAAATATCAGTTTGGCTAAATAGAAAAAGCAAAATTTCCTTTAGGGTTAACAGATTTTTCTTATACTAGGTGATGAAAGTACTGTCATGTTTACCAGCCACATTTTGCCATTTTATAGCACGATCATGTACCTATAGTACTTTATCATTAAAACGAGCAGTAGCTCCTACATTCTGTGGAAAAGGGCAGTTGTGGAGTCTCAATATCTGGAATCATGAGCGCCCCCTGCCAGGAGTCAGGAGAACTGCCTGCCTCGCCTTGAATCAGTTCTGCAGTTTCTGGTCGCACCTCAGCACAGAAAACACGTTACACACACAGCTGGTGACAGAAAGCACAACATTATGTACATGATCTAAATGATGTAAAATCAGTTCATGCATTCAGTGTTTTGAAGCATTTTGTTGGTGACGTCAGACAGGAGGAGCATGCGGTCATAGAATGGCAGCCAGTGCAGTCAGAGAGGTTGATCAATCCCAGGTGAGGCTCAGTTCACTGCAGCATCACCAGCTTCACTTCAGAGCATTTGAATGGGAAAATTCAGCGATTTTGAAGAAAAAAATAATCACAATTGGTTGAGCTAAATTAAAAATAGATATTTTATAGTACAAACCACAGAGTGAAAATAGCAATACAAATGATTTTATCATTATACATTATTTTTCCATGATGCCTCCCCTGACTGCATGCCACTGGTGTTAATCTTTGATGGTTTACATCACAATAAACCAGGATGTAAACCATGGTTTACATGTCTTAGTTTTTGTACAAATACTGAGACATTTTTTTTGTCCAAGAAAAGCCTCAGGGACAGACAGGAACTAGTGGAAGTGAGAGAATGGACTGCTACAGTTCTCCTATCTGATGGATTGGAAGATCAGAGAACAGCCACCATGACTCGTGTTGCTGACAGCAAAGAACGCTGATAAAATCCTATAATGCATGAGTTAAATGGCCTGTAAAGGTTCCTGCCTCCAACAGCAGGTGGAGAAGAACCAACACATTTAGAGAGAAGTGTGGGAGTTTGTCTCATGCTTTTTAATAATCTTAGAAAACATTTAGTTTGCATTTTTCCCAGATGGTGGCCAACATCATGTGTGTAGTTGGGCTTCTCAATGCTGCCACCTGCTGACCACAGTGGTCACTGCAAATCAGGTGATCGAGTTAAAGAATGAAGCGCGTGTCTGAACTTGTTGATAGATGGAATTATGGTTAATCTTTGATTATAAGAAGAGCACGCAAGCAGAGAGCGGCCATTTTCTGCATATACTTTTCCCAATGGTTTTATCAAAATCCGAGGAGTCCTTCAAATAAATCCATGCATTGGTGACATTAGAAGAATGAAATTAGGTTCAACACATAGAAGACATCTTGTGATTTGATCCAGATGAACTTATCGTGAGGAAACCATGGGGGAAAAAAGGCATATGCTGAAAACGTCCTCTCTCAACTTCCATAAGAAGAGTTGCACATGAACATTGCACAATAAAAGCATCAACAGCGACAGAAATGAATGTAGAAGTTCTTCAACAAAAGGAAAAGCTGGGAGACGACTGACATCTTGAGTCCGGATGGTGACGTTATGGGTTCTTTCCATCAGTCCATTTTATTCATTATCTCTCAAAAAGAAAACAGCTTAAAGTGAATCGCAAAAGTATTCACACCTCTTGAAACTTAAAAACATGTTTTGTCATGTTATGACAACCTTGTAGTAATGCAATAATAGGAGGTCAAGTACTTGTGTGTATTTTTTTCTCCAAAAGATCAACACACAGTGTAATGTTTTATTGAGAATTTAAAGAAAAATAATTGATACCTTTTGAAGTTTCACACAGAAAAACCTGAAACGTCTCATTCATTGTTCATCCACTCGACAAATGTGTTGATCGACAGAAACGTCCCAATTCTGTCCTTTTAGAAGAAAATGTAAAAAGTTCCAGTGGCATGAATACTTCTACAAAGTCTAACTTAGGCTCCTCATATGAAGCGTGAGCAGAGCACCGACACGTCAGCATTTCTGCACCAAGAATGATTTTTTTTCCAACCTCCTTCAGCTCCACGTCTCTTCATGTGGATCAAAACAGCAACAGATGCGTTACAGCGCCGACGTCTGTAAAAGCCCTGCTTAAACCGTAGCAGTCACTTTAATTACTTGGATTACAGATATAAAATTTAAAAAATTGTTCCGCTGCAGCATGTTAGCAGTACCATGTAAAAGTCATCTGAACAGTTATTTGAGTCTCAGGCTGCAGACTGAAGGATCTCTGTAAGAAACACTGAGCAGTAAAGATGGAGATGGAATTTGATGATGAAGAAATTCAGATCTGATCAGTGGAGCAGTTTTCCCTTCTTTCACTGTCAGATCAAAAATAAGTCATAAAGTGATGCAGCTCCTTGTTCCTTCTTAATATTATGGCTTTAATAAAATCAGCCCAAAAAGTGCTGAGTCGGCTTCCTTCCTGCTCACATGCAGGTGACCTCGGCCTTCCCCTCCTCCTGCTCAAAGCCTCCTTCCTCCAGGTGGGACAGGGAGCCGGAGTAACCGCCTCCGAACACCGGGAAGCCCCCGATGCCGCCGCCCGCGGCAGGGGAGAGGTCTTCTGCGGGGGCGGAGCTGCTGACCACGCGGCTCACAGAGCGACTCGACACGTCGCTGGGCGCCGAGACCGTCTGTGGAGGCGAGAGGAAGAGGAGCATCAAGAAACAACCGGAACTGATTCTGATCATGAAATGATGAGTTTCAGGGTGATGAGGTCCACTTAAACATTGGCTGTGTTTCCATTACAAATGTGTGCAAAACCTTGCTGATTTTCCACCAAAGCTACAGTTTACAATTTTGCAAAATTGTAAAATTGGATTTTGGCAAATTCCACTAAATACGAAACACATTTAAAATCCCATGCGATAAGTCAATAAAACGCATATAGTGTGGTAAATGCAGTAGATCTAGTTGTCACAATGATGGGTTTCTATGAGAACCATTCTGTCAATCTTATTGATCATAACACTGTCACTTCCATGACAACGGTGCTGTAAAAAATGTATTTGACCCCACAGTTAATTTCTCCTGCATTTAGTCTGAAATGTTTTCAAAATTTTAATCTTAACATACATTTTAAAATGAATACTATGTCGCTTATGGTTATCTTTGTATTAGCTAATGATGACCATGTTTGATGAGTAGCTTGTTTTTGATCCGGGTCAAGCTTTGCCTTCCTCCTCTTTCAAAAGCTACTTTTGTGTAGATTCACTGTTAAATAAAGACAACTGGAACCCCAAAATATTTTTAAAAATCAAATATCAATGATTGGCCAGAAAATTGCAATCACTGCATCCCTAGAATTACCTAAACCAATTCATATGCCAGTCATGGCAACAAATTTTGTCTTCAAAAAAAGGACAAAGCGCCAGACTGAGGACTTTTGTCATCCATTTATTTGGTAGAAAAAGAGAAAAACTCTAAATCTTTCAAATGGAAACTGTTGCGCTCGTTTCGTTACGTCTGAGAACATTAACGGCCTTGGTTTCGTCCCACCTGGTTCTTTAGATGTCCGGATGTGGAGGTTCTGACCGGTCTCTGCAGGAACACCACCTGCTTTGTGGCCAGGTTCCCGTCGCTGCATGATCAGCGTAACGGAAAAAACAAACGCATTAGCAAACAGACGTTCCTCACATAGCGCCATGCATCAGCCAACTCTGTATCCACCTGTCATGGCGAATGATGGGGGTGGGCAGCACGCAGGTGAGCAGCCAACCAAACTCAGCCAGGGTGTGCAGCAGTGGCCCGTAGTCCGTTTTCACGTCAGAGCCCTGAACACACCGCAGACCCAACACTTACAGATGAATCTGTAGCTGAACGCACAGAGCTCTTCATTTCATTTTTATGTGTCACAAGTTGCTCTCTATGCTGCGGTATAATAGCAGAAATATTGAAGATTTTAACAGGTAAAAATCTGAAAAGTGTGGTGTGGATCAATAATCAGTCCCTCTGAGTGAATTACTCTTGTTTAACAATGAGAAAAACTTGTTCTGGTGTGAACCAGGAAGACACACCCTGTGAACCCTGAAAGGTCACATTGCAGGGTGGAGCCATGACCTTTGGAGTGACCCACCTCGATGACGGTCCACTGCTCCACCACGATGGTGTCGTTAGGGGGAGGGGAGGTGCTCCGCTCCTCGTACACAAACAATCCCTCCAGAGACCTGGGGACCGGCTCGCCTGCGACACACAAACACACACACCCACACACACACATCTCAACTTTGGGTTTTTGATGATTTACTTCACTGATTCCCCACCAGGGGGAGCTCTGACTGCAGTAAACACAAGATGTGTTATCCTGTTAGCAGTGGATGAACCTGAAATGAGTGGAGCTGCGTGTGATGAGTTAAAATGACCCAGTTATTAGAAATAGGTTGACAGCTCCCAGGTGTGTGTTTGAAATGAGGGGACCTAATAAAGGTTTGGGCCGTGTTGTTCCATTCATCTGATGAAATATATAACTAGGTAATTTAAAAAAAAAAAGAAAGTTAAAAACTGCAGCTTTAAAACAAAGTTGTTTATAATGTTCCATGTGCTTATAATAAGTAAAAGAGAACCTCTGTGTGTGTGTGTGTGTGTGTGTGTGTGTGTGTGTGTGTGTGTGTGTGTGTGTGTGTGTGTGTGTGTGTGTGTGTGTGTGTGTGTGTGTGTGTGTGTGTGTGTGTGAGCCAACAGAGGCTCAGGAAGCCCCATCAACCCATTATTTTCCCATTCCTTCCAGATTCCTACACACAAAAATCAGCCACTTCCTGTTTTGTCTCCTCTCTCTCCCCTACTGGATCTAAAATTGGAGCGTCCTCCAGATCTCAACGACCTCACTTCCTGCTGCTGTGCCGAACAGCTGACATTTGCATCATCCACCAGATGCGAAAATAACCCCTGTGAAGCCAGTAAATTAAGAAAGAAAGAAATAAGCAACATCCTGAACTCTTGGGTCCAAACAGGGAGCAGCAGAGGGGCAGCCTCTCCCACCAGAACTGCAGCAGAGATCCCCAAAGCTTCCAGCAGGCTACACGGGCTGAGAAAAGTTCCCAACAAACATCCAGATGATTAAAACATTCTCCTTCCCAGGAAGCACCCCTCTGGAACGACTCCAGAGTATGTCAGGAATCCAGTGCATGTATGGAAGCAGCTACGGCGTCCATTTTATGCTTTCATTTAATCAAAAAACCTTCTGAGGACAATATAAAACTGGACCCACCAGACTCTTATCGGTTCTCTTCTTTCACTTGAGCCTTACATGGGTTCAAATCATGACAACACGCTGCTGAAGTCTGATTCAACAGTGTGGCCTTTTCTGGCATCTGGACAAATTCAAATCAGTTCAAATCTAGAATACGGAAAAAATCTGGACTGGATTATCAGATTAAATACAGACCCTGTTCTAAACCCAGAACAGAATGAATCTAGAGGTCCATAAAACAGTGAAATGTAGATTTTTGAACGAGTGTGTGTGTTTTGTTTTTCTCAGGTGCAATAGGTGTTTTGGATGTGGGCTACATGGGCAGTTGCCCAGGGCAGCAGCAAGGGGAGGTGACACCCCAGAATAAGAAAATAAAATATATCTTATACATTGGTTGTGTCCTGAACAAGTTTGCTAAAAGTTTTTTTTCTTTCTGCTGGAAAAAACAACAACAAAAAAACAGATAATTGCTTGCATTTTAATTGGTTGGCGGCAGTAGAAGGAGGGATTTGCCCAGTGCACCATTCCTGTTAGAACCACCACTGCTTGGGCGTTTACCTGACATGTTTCTCTGAATATTTTTGCTAAAGGGGTTAACCCCATCGTCCCTCCATGCTTGTGCAGCTTTAGACCAACCTTTAGGTGTGTCCCAGTACACGAAGGAGTCGACCAGCGACCAGCCTTTGCGGTAGTAAGCAGCGGTCAGCTCCAGCCAGTCGGCCTCCAGCGCACTGACCACTTGGCCCTTTCTGGAGACCCGCATAGAAAGCGCCCCCTGGTGGTACTGACAGCCCAACGAGTCCAGAGGAGCGCAGCCTGGGGGCCAGGAATGGAAGAAGACCAGCAGCCTCAAGTCTTCAGGAGCAGACAGGAAATGTGGGTTTATGAGCAGGAACAGGTGCTTTAAGCTTTACAAGCTTTATGACAGAACTTTTTCAAAAGTTAAGAATCCTTCTTTAGTGACTTTTTGAAATGTTGCCTTATTTACATTGCCCTTGGATATTTCATTTTAGCTCCAACACCCTGCTGAACAATAGAGAGTAAATCCAGCGAGTGGTGGCCATTTTATGTCATTTATCATTAATCATGATAAATTTTGGCATTATAACAATTCTGATTTATTGTTGTTGCCATAAATTTGAATTAAAACCCCCTCCAAACTGTCCATATTTTTGGTATAAACAGAAACTAGTAGTTCTTATTGTCATGTAAGAACAACTGTAGGTAGGGTCAAACCTGGCCTGTAGGTGTGCTCCTCCTGCTCTCTGTCTCCAGGTGGTGTTTGGGGCGGCGTACGAGGCGGGGAGCGGCAGCCTCTTTTGGGGCTGTGCATGCGCCCGTTGGTGACGCCGCTCACCTGCTGCAGGACAGAGCCAACGAACTGAACACCTCCTCTTGCGCTGCTGTTCACCTGCAGGACGCACAGCACATGCGAACGAAGTTAGACCCAAAGCATCCGGGGCTTTTACTGAGGCTCAATATTCAGATGTATGGTTCCAGGAGCAGTCTGACCCTGTCAATCAGCGCCCGCACCGTGTCGCTGGTTAGTGAGTCGCCGGGTAAAGGCCATTCCTCCACCCTCAGCACCGGCGCGCTGTGGCACGTGGATGCAGTCTGGTTGCTGAAAGCACCAAAAACGAAGAAAAAAACACCAGTGTCCACTTCAAATTCAGAATTTGGTCAATAAAAACCTGCACAGAGAGCATCTACTGATGAATTCAGGTTATATAAATAAAGTGAATTTAATGAAATGAGTCTAACTTGATAGAATGGATGGCGCTACACATAGGACAAACCTGTAAGAAACCCTGCTAGAGGCTGCAGACGACTAGGGAGTTGATCACAAACACACACACAGAGCTAAGAAGTGTGCTCTGTGTGTGCACAGAGCACACACACTGGACTCTGTTTAGGACTTACTTTGAGTAAGTCCTAAAATGGCTCACTCAAAGACCTGGATGGACATCCAGCTACAGCTACAATGGAATGGTTTAGGTTAGACTTTTTTTTTTTAACAATTACCACCTCAGTTACCACAAAGTTTCCAAAGTGTCACCATTATAACGTGTCTAAAACCATTTTAAATCAGAGCCCTCCCAGTTATTTGTTCCATTTGAACCAAGGTCAAAACTTCTTGAGGAAGTCTGAAGTCTGAGTTCTATATTCCAGCTGCAAAGTTGAATATATCACAGCAATCCACAGCTCTAAATCCAACATGGCTGCCACATCTCTTTAGCTGCTTAAGCTCAGTAGCTTTACATCACAGTTTAGCTAACAGTGTTTGATAAGCCTTGAATTCATTGTACAGATGTTTGACCACATTGTTTCTTCTGAGTCTTTCTGTTCACAGCTTATGTGACACTGATGGCACTTGTACCACAGCTTGAGAACCATGTATTCATATGTTAGACTGGCTCAGTCAAAGCAGAAGAAAGGACAGAGAATTCAGCCGTAACGTGTCCAACACAGCTACAGACATACACCAAGCAAAATGTAGTTCTATTACATATTATTTCTGTTTTAAAACTAAAAGAAAAACAAAACCAAAAACAATCAGTTCAATTTCACTTCACCAGGATGTGCTGCTCTGTGTTGGTTGATCACACACTACACACCATCTTTCTTACAATAAATCCATGATAGTTACAGTATTACAGCCAACCCACAGTCAGAGTTCAGACACTCTGCCTCCTCATTGGCTGCTCAAACACCCTTGTTGTTGAGTGAATTTCTAGCCAATAGGATCCGTAGAAAATGCAACTCAAACCAAAACATTTCCTTCTCCTCCAGTCTGACCTCCATCTGAGACTTCCTATCAAATATGCAGCTGACCTCATCAATCTTTCATCATGTCACGCCATGGCACAGCCATGGAGGGAGGGGGGTGACCTGGTTCGGGTCGTGGGCTGGCGTACCTGGATCTGGGACGGGCCAGCACGGCGCGGTACAGCAGGCTGAAGGGCAGCGAGCGGCTCCGGCCAAGGGACAGGATGATGGGGTGGAGGGCGGCCAGGACGTAGCCCTGGGTGTAGAAGGACTGCAGGGCCTGAGGCAGCTCAGACAGGGAGGACACATACTGGACGGTAGGACGGCTGCCTGTAGGGACACACAGTTAGGTCAGGTCAGGGGTCGGCACCCTGAGGTTCCGGAGCCACACAGGCTCTTTGGACCTCCAACTATGGCTCTCAATATCTGGCTCTAAATATGCTGAAGAACTAAATAATGTTATTATTGAATACAGATATAATAGCAAATGCAGGTTTTTAGTAGTATTTCCTCTTTTATCATGGAATAATTGCACTGAATGCTGAACTATTTTCTATGACATAATGTCTAGGTTTCAGTCAGGCAGAGAGAGAGGAAGGCTTAATGCCGATAATAGGAAGGCTGAATTCATCAACGAACTTGTAGCTGTTTTAACAATGCTAATAATGCTAATCACAAATACAATATGATAAAGCCAGCTGAAAATGTCAACTTCAATTGTTTTGTCTTTGTAAAAGCCTGTTTTAAAATGAAAGCTGCAAAAAATATTAACGGAACTGTTTATACAGATGCTAAAGAGAAATTTAAATAGGTTTAAATCAGTTTAACTGTGTGCTGTTTATTTATGAAGAAAAAACCCAGCACACAATCCTGCTCTCTACTTCTGACACTGAACACAGAGACATGGCTCTCCAACTTTAAAACGAAATTAGTTTGTGTTCCATTTAAACAAAGTAAGTTTGTCAAACTTACTTTATTTGTTGACATGATAACTTAATATGTTTAAGTTATGTTAAATGTTAAATATGTTTAGTATTTACAAACTTCTCTGAATTTAATGACAAATGAACAAGTCTTTTTATATTGATCACCTTTGCATTTCTCCTTTAATGTATCTAAAGATCTGAATGATTTTTTTCCTTTGGAAATCAAAGCAGTAATTACTGTCATGTCCTGCTTCCACTGGGACTTTTCATTGAGTCGTTCTATGGTTTTTATTTCAGGCTCAACCAAGCTTGGAGTCATAGTAATGATTGAAGGTCAGCAGTTAAACTACACAATAATTATTTTTAACATTTTAGCTGATTGCCTGTTTTACCAGGATGAAAGTGAAAGCTCCAGAACATGGGCTTAAGTTAACATGAGGTCCATAAACAGTGTGTTTGTGTGTGTGTGGGTGGTAGTGGGAGCATTCCACACAACAACACCCCCACTGCTCTCTAACCTACAAACAACCAGAGGTTTGGGAGTCCGGCGCACAGCTGATATCAGTGTGGTTTCACTGGTTCCCATTAGACTCAACCAGTGAAGGTGGAGCTGCTGCATTTTACTGGAATTCCTGTGGACTTTACCACCGCTTCAAAGGTAGCGATGGATTCGAGTTGCAAGTTAGACGCTGGAACATGGAGGGACCGAGAGGAACCAAGAACCGTCACAGACCCAAGACCCAAGGTTCCTACACATTTTAAAATGTTCTAAATTTCATCAGTGTTTTGAACACTACAGGAAACTGAATAAAAACATTATTTGGGTTTTGGTATCAATTTCCTCCCACAGATCATGAAAGGACCCGGTGCAAGAAAGTGGTTTGTGATTCAGCAGGCTGCTTCAGAGGTAGTTAATTTCAGAAAAACTCCAGAACAGTGTGGATTAGATCACCTCAGACCAAAAACAGTTAACTTTAAATAACAGCTTGTGATCAATATGATGATTACATATTTCACAAAGTTCCAAAAAAACTATGAGTTTCAGTGCTTTATTTGGCACCTCAAGCAGACCCAGTTCAGGAAGCTCCAGTTTAGGTGGTTATGTCTTTTTAACCCAGACTTAAAAAGATCTGGAAGTCAAACAAAAGCAGCATATTGCTCACTTTTTATTTGTTCTGTCAGTGATTAGAAGTTGCCACATGTCATTCAGATCACAGATTACAGGTCACTTTGTCCCTTAACATCATAAAAGTTCTTCTGGTGAGTAAGTTTGCTTTCAGATCATGCAGCTGGGATTGTGGAATTAAAAGGGGCGTGATTTACAACGGAGAAATTGTATTTTTTCAACATGTGCAAAAATGTTTGTACATTTGTAAAGGAAATGAAGCTATACAGGCACTAAGATCAGTGTGCTTATGCTCTTGTTCTGTTGTTCTTTGCTTTGTGTATGTCACAACCCCTACTCTTCATAGTGTTGCCTCCCAAGATGCATTTGGATGCTAAATTGGTGGGTTGACTTCAATTCAACCAGAGGAGGGGGCGACCTTCGCCGCAGTCAAACTCTCCCAGGAGAGCCGTGATGGCTCACCAAAACACATCCACACCAGGCTTTTATTCTGACATTCTGCTTTCCTCCTCCACCTCCTCTGCCCCCCACTGCCTGCCTGACCCGTCCACTTGGACACTGAGCCCTCTGTTTGTGGGAGAAAAGTTGAGTGGAGGAGGAGGAGAAAGGGAAAATGAGGGGAGGGGGTTAAAGAAGAAGGAGGGAGTTTAAGGGGAGCAGAGAAACAGAGAGGAGGTGACAGAGCTGAGGGAGGTTCAGAGCCAAGGACCACAGTTTATAAGTGAAGGCCAGCAAAAGAGGGCGTTGCCTGGCAACGAGGAGCAAAGAAAACAACGATATAAAAAAAGGATAAACTCTACCCAGCCAAGTTTTTGTGGACATAATCCCACAAATGTGAGACACGACTGTAAACAAGAGACAATAACTTGAACCTCTGTTTAAACCAACACATCAGCAATCACATGACAATCTCAGCTAAAAAGATGAAGAGCGAAGGACAAGCTGCAGTAACAGACACCACAGAGCACATCTGTAAACCTTTGGGACTTCTATACATCTGTGGAGCCTGGTTCTGTTCTGTGATGCACGGCTGTGATGCACAAAAGCTTTGGCAGAGACACAAATATGTCGGGTTTTTGGTGGTTTTCTTTTTTTTTATGTTTCTATGATGAAAAAGCAGAACATTTATGTAGTCAGGGTTTCTAGATTATACTCTTCTATTTCATAACATCTGTGACATGTGAAGCCATGATGGGTGCACTCTGCTGTCAAGGCAATTGTTTTTTTTATTTCAGTTATTATTAAGTTAGCTGATGGTTTTGAGCCACAACTAAATTATTGCTGAATGTAGAATTTTTTGTCTTATTGATGAACATATGTGAATCCCAAGCAAACCAGAAACTGCTCTAAAAGCAGAAAACAAAGTATAACACAGGGCATTCTGGGTAAAAACAACCAAAACAAATGAACATGTCTAGAAAATGACTGAACATCCTGAAGACTTTCTATTTCCGGTCACCTCTGCCATGGGTGATGAGCTGTTAAAACAAGCTAATCCAGGTCTAACTAGTGTATTCATTCATTTTTATCTATTGTTTTACATCATTGCATCAACTTCCTGTAGCATGTCATTCACAACGCTTCTGGAGTCACACAGACAAAGAAAGCAGTTCTGAATTGCCTTTCCCTGTCCTTGAAAGCTGCTCTAAATTTATTATGTGCAAAACTGACTTTAATCTGAAATAATCCAGGACCGAATCCTGAGATCAGACAGAGATTAGAGGCAGACGGAGTGTCCCGAGGCCCAGCAGGTTTGACCACCTTTCAGAAGATTACCAAACACCTCGGCGTCAGGTTAAACCATTCCACCCTCTAAATCCCTCCGTACTGCCCCCTCCCATACAGTCATTCTTGCCTGCTATCATCTACACCCTTCATGTCGGCCGTTAACCCTTTGTTCCAATCAAAGTTCTTGTGTGACAGGGCTGTGTGGACTGGAACACGAAGACCGAGGCTTCAAGGAACAGTTCTGACCGGGGTAAGGCGGACACATTCCCACTTTTGTTAAAATGGATCGTACTGATTGATGCATGCTCTGTTAATCAGAGAGCTTCTCCAACTCCATGAAGAGCAAACTGGAAGTGACAGTTTGGGGGAACTGATTACAGAAAGGCCTTCATGTGTCACAGAAGAGTGCAGACCACAGAATGGATACAAATAGCCCCCTAACGAGCACAAAGCGATGCCTTACAGCCTAAATGATCCCTTAGCACCACAGAGTGAACTATAGAGGTGGAGTTAAGGTCTGAGTCCCTTCAAAGGGGGAGAATCATGTGCTTTCCAGCCACATAGTAACATAGTACCATTTTACAACTCTATGTTACCATCAGTGGTTATACAAATGCTGTGTATATGATATACAACTTAAAAGAATTTTGACTTTATAATTTAACGTCTTGAAATTGGACCTGTGTCTCTTTATGAAAGTCCAGCTTTCTGAAGCTCCACCTTCATCACTCCTCTATTCACCCTATAACAACGTTTTTACCACTGAGAAGTAGCTCCTATCATGAGCTCATCAGATGCTCAGTTCCACCAGATCTTTGCTAATTGCTGCTGGCTAGTCTGAAGGAGTTGAATGAGGAAGTTGTGGGGGAGCGCTGCTCAATGGGGCAGAAGCTTGGAAACAGCATCTGTGAGGAGGAGCTTTGTTCTCGAAGGCGGGGCTAGGTCCAATAAGGCATTTTGCACAGCTGAATGGTTGCCATGGAGATGAAAGGATTTCATGTATGCTTTTGAAGAGGGTATATCATTATGTCCTCTTATATCATTATTGATATAAAATCTAATTTCAGCAAAAAAAAAAGAAAAAAGTTGGAAGTCAGCATCATGACCTGCTCTGTGAAATTAGACATATTAGAATTTTACGTCCCTTAAAAGGGGAGTGAAGGTCCTGCTATTACCTCTTACCTCCACCCAAATATTAACAACTGCATTATTTAGTTCTAAGTATGTGAAGATAAAAAAATTTTCCTTACATTATATTCTTATGAAATAACATCTGCTATCAATTTTTGTTGAAAAACTGACACACATAATGGGAAAGTCAAAATTGAGAGTGTTCCAGAAATTTGTTCTATACTTTGGAAATTTCAAACAATCAATCATTAACTCAGTTTCCATTGACCATATAACTGTGCAATTTTACATTTTGAAAATAAATTTGCTTAATGAAAATTTTTGAAAAAAACACATTTTTGATCAAACGTTTTGGTTCTATGAGATGGCTGCTCATAGCCGTTGGTTTATCTTCCAAAATTACAATGGAAACGCATTTT